CATTTTGAAGAAAATGATTTTCTTGAGTCAAGTGAATAAATTCTTGAGCTAAGAAATTATTCTTGGTCTAAATTTATTCACTTGACTCAAGAAAATCATTTTCTTCAAAATGAAATTCTTGGTTCAAGAGTTTGGCTCTTGAGTCAAGTCAATTTTTTTATCAGGGCAGTTAATTAATCATCATAAAAAAATAATACTACTAATGAATGTATGATTAATCTATCCACTTCTAATTTCGAAATTATGGAATATAATATAAATTGTATTATCATTTGTTTATTTAAAAACTAAAAGTCAATTTTGAAGATTAAAGTTATAAAATTTGTAATTGACGTACTGATTACTTCGGGCTGAATTGTATGAGTATAATAAGATACGTCACAATTGTACCGAAAATCTGGAAACGTTAAATCAAATTAAAAAACATAAATATCATTTTATTAGTTTCTAATTGTTAAAATATCAATTACCGATTGCAACAGAAAACCATCTAACACTATGATTCCATAAGAACCAAATTCAATATTTCTATATAAAAGATTGGCTGAAAATTCAAGTAACTAAAAAAGATAATAATATTAATTTTTAACATATCGCGTGCCTACGGCAAAAAGGGACTCATCTCAAACTATACGCCCTTTTTATCTGTATATATACAGATTTTCACTTACAGTTTTTCGAATTTTTTAGGAATGAAATTTAAAAAAAAATTTTTTTGTAAAATTTTTTTCAATAAAAAAAATTCTAAAAATTTTTAAATGTCGGCTAACTTTATTGTCATTGTTAATTTCAGTATAATTAATAATTCCAAAAAATGTGCCCTTTTTACCCCAAACGTTCGATATGTCCACTTTTACAACTTTCCTAACCTAAAACTAAAAATCATTGCTTTGAGTATATTCTAACATACCATATTTATTTATAGTTAACAAATCTGATTTGGTTGAAATATACAATTGTTAGCGCCAAAGAAATATTTGTTAAGGGGGTATTCTGGTCTAGAAGCATGAAATTTCAGGTCAGATTTTTACTTTTTCGAATTTTTTTAAAAACAGTAAAAATTGAAATTTGGGGATGACCGTAGTTCCGACCATAGCGACATTACTCTAGATTAATAATATTTTTTATTTTTTTGTTTCCGATTGCTAGGAAGGTTGGAATCGTGGGTATCGTCACGTGCCAATTTTTTGAAACCCCCCCCCCCCCACTTTATCAGCTGCTAATTTTATGAATTTTCAACTTTTTTCATTTTTTTATTTTTTTCCGTATTTTTATAATGTTAATAAATAACTTATAAAAAAATGGATACTAAAAATATTGATTGCCTTTTTTTTACGGCACTTTAAAAATTACCTGAAATTTCATGCTTCTAGACCAGAATACCCCCTTAACTATAAACAAATATGGATTTCATTCAAATATACTACAACTTTGTCTCAAATAAATCAATTTATTTGGATCAAATAAATATTTCTTGTGATATTTAAATAAGAGATTTATTTATAGTTAACGAGCCTCATTTCATTTAAATGAATTGTTTTCTCAGTGTTCTATTATTAGACTTAGGCTTAGAAGTATCTAAGCCACACGCAAAATCGTGAAGCGTTCCACATTTTTAACAAATATTAAATAATGCTGTGAAGCGGGAAAGAATAGGAGTTACGGTAATTATTACGTGAGGCGTTCCAACATTCACGTAACAGGATAATTCTCAGCTCTATAGAGCAAAAAGGGCCTATAGAAAATATTATTTTACTACATTAATCGACTTAAAAATGTGAAAATTGACTGAAAAAAATTAAAATTCTTTATGAGATAACATTCTTTTTGTTCAAAAGAAAATTTTTTTGAAGCAAAAGGGCGTACATTCGTAAATCAAAGTAATTTTGTTCATTTTCTAACTTTCTGTACCAGAAATCGAACGTTTCGAATTGTAATTAAATAAAAAATTTTCGTAAACTTTTCGGATGTCAAAAAAGCAGGATTTGATAAAAGCTATATTCTTGAAAACTTAACTAAATGCAATGGCTTTCCGAATTTTCAAAAATTTTTAATTTTCATATCCAGAAGTTCATTTTGTGTTAAGAATTTTTTTTCTTAAAGAAAAAAATTTTAGTATTCATTTTTTCAGTCAATTTTCCCATTTTTTACATTACTGCGTCGAATAGAGAAAAAAAAATTCTGTATATAATTAATAATTTTTACTACAACTATTTATGTAGTTATACACTGAGAAAAAAAAATACTTTTATAAAGAAAATTTTCTTGATACAAGACTTTATGTTCTTGAAAATTTTCAAGAATATATTATATTTTTAGCTCAAGAAATTGTTAAATTGATTGAAATAATTTTTACTTAATTTAAATAAAGCTATTCTTTTGTTTATCTATTATCTAAATATAAATATTGATGCTCTTCTCTTCAGAAATTAATAATTAATAATAATTAAATAGAATATTTGATCGTCAGCGAGTTTCTTGAACCAAGAAATTGTTAATTGAGTAAAAGTATTTTTTTTCTTAGTGTAGAGAAACTAAGAAGAATAATAAAAATCTAAAGTGAATTACCGATTTTTTAACTTCTAAACTCATCGTACAGCGGTCCAAAAGTAAATGAATATAAGCGGCCGTATTATTAATCTGTAAATAAAATAAGCAATAAATAAAAGTTTGCACTGCAATCCGGAGTAGAAGTAAGCGGCCGCTGTAGAAGTAAGACTTCTTGCTCATTTTGTATAGATAGAAATAAACTATTAATTTTTTTTTTTATTGACCAAACGATAATTATTGAAAATAGTAAATTAGTGTTGAACAAAAAATTTATTTATAAATTTCTTTGCAATCTTTATTTAAAAAATGGTAATAAATCAGGATTTGCACGTCTTACGATAATTGAACAAAGAAGTCAGCAAAGAAGTTTCACTTTAAAAATAATTTAAAATTATAAAGCGTGTAAATAATACTTCTCGAGTAATTTTAGTGACATTTGTTGTCAAGATGACAAAATTAAAAATAGTCAGTACAGATGTCAATCCACAGTCTATGTAAGGCAATAATGAAACTTCTCGATAATTGATCAAATTGAGTGACACCATCGTATAATATAAATTAACTACAGCTACTGTCATAAAATACACTACAGCTATTAACACTGGGAATGCATAAAAATCAACAACTTTTCCGCAAAGTTTGCACACTTTGATATTGATGTATTGAATATTTGTGATATCGACAATAACTGATTTACAAATTGGAATCTTTGTGATAGATAAAGCAATTGTTTCAAATTGTGTACTTATATCACTAATTCTTAGAATCGTTTTATTGACACATTTACATCTTTGGAAAATAATGTAAATCACTAAAGAATACTGTATTAGGACCCAACTACTTATAGCACAGGGCACCGCCCACGCCAGCATTGAAATCGGAGGATAAAAAATAATTTGGACAAAAATTATACATCCGTTCATTATAAAATTTCCAATGAATACAGAGTAGAGATAGTGATTTTTTGCTAAAAAATAAAAGTTGCCCGTGCTCTTCAGATAATTATCTATGGAGTACAACTCATTTACAATGTCAATTATCGCTGATTTGTGGACAATATAGTATAGCCATATGAAAATAGAACCGATAACTCCAAACAAAGTTGCACTTCTATCAAAAAAAAAAGAAGCAATCGAATTATTATAATCATCAAACCATAAATCATATATAAAAACTAATGTAATGTAAACACAAAAAGCGAATACCAAAAAAGAGTTATATAGAAACACGCATTTGGAGATTTCATACAGGTAAACATTATTATTTTTAATATTTTTAAAAATTTTTGAAAAATTCACTTTTAACGGCGCTAATCCTAACATTTTAAAAAAATTCAAAATACAGTAGTAAACAATATGCTGACGTTCTAAAGAAAAAATGTTTATTTTTTTTATTGCAGCCTTTCGTTTATGAAAAAATTTTTTACTCATGTTTAATTTGACTTTTTTCACTAGTATTATAACTAGTACTTAAAATATATTGCAACTAAATAAAATTTATCACAAGCTTATAAATAATGTCGGCAAATTATATTTATTTCTTATCTATCGTACCATATGAATATATTATTTCAATATGACATGTAATCAATTTTTCAATGATGAATAATGAATTAACATTATCAAGAAATTGAATTAAATAATTAAATGATAGTTGCACTTTTATATTAGCTTTAATATACTTGTAAAGAAAAAAACTTTATATTTTTATCCTTGTTACACTTTTTAACTCTATCTGACACCGATTACACACCGCTAGAGTTCTTAAATTACAACTCGGGAAAAAATGATCAGACCTGTTCATGTCTGATCAGGCCTGTTCATGTCTGAAGCGTGAAATACGCTCAGGCATGTCCATGCCTAGAAAAGTTAATTAAATTTACCCTACGGTAAGTTTTTAATGATAATCAAAATACTTTTATTTATTGAATAATAAAATATACCGTTTCTTGATAATTTACAAATTTATTAATCGAAATTAATGTACATACACTGAACATATTCAATATTGTTTCTGAGCATATTTGGTCCTTAGCATGAACAGACATGGACAGGTATGATCGGGCCGGAGCGTATTTAACGCTTGAGACATGAACAGACATGGGCAGTAGGGTGGGTCAAAAAAATCGATTATTTTTTTTTTAACTTCTAAGATTGAAAAGTTGGTTCTCAGGCACCTCTAGAAAATTCTCACCGAATTTGAGCTCTTAGTATTGATAGGAATCTTATCCGCATCACAGTTTTATATTTTTTGTTAGTCTTATAAAAAAGATCATATCTCACTATTGATCAATTTTTTAATCAAATCTTTATACATGTTTTTTTAGAAAATTGAATGACCTACAAAAAAGATTTGTTATGTGTAAGCAATTACATTGACCATTTCAAAGATATCCGAGGTAAAAGTTCAAAAAATTTATCAAAAAAAAATTTTTTTTTTTTAATTTCCTACCACTTCGGAAAATAATAGTTGTCAAATGAATATGCTATATCGACGTTCTAATTAGTAAATTGTCTAACTCCATTTTAGAGAATCTTCTATTTGTACGAAAAAAACAATTAGTTCAAAATTCATTATCACTTTAAAAAACCATTTTATATCATTATTATCTATTATCTTTTATGGTGATAATCTATTATTATCTATTATTATCTATTAAAAAAAAATTATTGTGCCAAGAAGTTAATTTCTAATGTATATACATCAAATTTGTGAGAATATTACAAATTGATAGAAAATAGCAAATTTTTTTTATTTTATGCTACTCACCACGACCACCCCGTCCAGGGCTACTACCACAGCGCCGGGGAGGGGGGAAGTGAGTTCGACCGAAATCACCGCTGTCCATCTTACAGCAACAAAGAAAGTTAATTTCTAATGTATATACATCAAATTTGTGAGAATATTACAAATTAATAGAAAATAGCAAATTTTTTATTTTATGCTACTCACCACGACCACCCCGTCCAGGGCTACTACCACAGCGCCGGGGAGATATAATATTTAGGTTTGAATCATTCAAATAATTTATAATTCGATTATGGCTACATCAAAATGTTAAAAAAATCACCCTCTAAAAAATATGGAGTTAGACAAATTACTAATTAGACCATCGATATTTGGTGAGAATTTTCTAGAGGTGCCTGAGAACCTCTTTTCAATCTTAGAAGTAAAAAAAAAATAATCGATTTTTTTGACCCTCTGTAAGGGCAGGCATGATCAGGCCTGAGTGTATTTAACGCTTCAGACATGAACAGGCATGACCATGTCTACTTTCAGGCCTGATCATACATAAACAAGCATGGTCAGGTCTGATCATTCTGTTCCGAGTCTATCTGATCAGACTTGCATAGTCAGAGATGTGATAAAAATTTTTTCTTTGACAAAAAAAATTTTTTTAATTACAAAATGTGCAAAATAGTAATAATAGTAATAATAGTAGTAAGTCTATGCTTTGTTTAAATGTCAAGCATAAATTATTAAATAAATTAGATTAGATGGGATGCACTAAGTCAGTGTCTATTTGGGAAACATAGTTTTGCAAAAGAATCAACATTGTTTATCGCATGAACATCAAGGCTGTTATCAATATTATAAAACAAGTTAAAGGCATACATTAGACGATAAATAGGAGCAGAAGTAGCAAAGTTGGTACTCGTGAGTGGAAGTTGAAAGGGAACATTACTTCTCCAAGTCGGAGTTCTAAAAGTAATTGAATCAAGAAGTCTCGGACAGTCCACTTTGCCCTGTATCAGTCGCGTCAAGAAAATAGCACTTGCACAAAGACGGCGGTCCTTTAAGGAAAGCATTTTAAACCTACGACAAAGTTCTTCTTTATCCGAGCCCGGTTTAGGATAAAATGTTATAATGAGATTCGGTTAAATAAATAAATTATGTATTGGAATCAATGACTCATATAGTTTCTATTGTACACACACATACACACACACACACACACACACACACACTGTGGAAAAAATCCACAAGACCAATACCGGGGATATGCTGATCACACTTTCGAGAAAGAGTGCTGATAGAGGCGAAGCCCTACAAAAGACCATCGCGGACATCCTTAAAGAGGAAGCCAAAGTGATATGCAAAGGGCCACAGGAGACTATAGAGATCCGGGACGTCAATGACGACTCGACGAAGGCAGACATTGAAACTGCACTGAAAAAAGAAGCCGGAGAAACCTGTGAAATACCTCTGGAGTCGATCAAGATCCGTAAAGCCTACAGAGGTACTCAGACTGCTACAGTGACGCTACCAGAGACAACTGCACAGAAGCTACTAGAAGGAAACAGCAAAGTAAGAATTGGTTGGGCCAACTGTCGAATAAGAGCAACGAAGAAACCTGTCCAATGCTTCAAATGCTGGCACTTTAGGCACTTCGGATCCCAATGTAAAAGCCAAGTAGACCGATCTAAACTCTGCATCAGATGTGGACAAGAAGGGCACCGTATCGCTGACTGTAAAAATTCGGCCAAGTGTGCAATATGTGCTGAGCAGCAAGGAGCAAAG